CCCCTTCCCCATCCTACATATCGTAGCAAACTTTTCCCAACTTTCTGCCACTTTTTGCAAAGCTTTCCGAAATTTTTTCGACGCGGCGACGGGGTTGGAAGGGCATTTTGCACTTTTGCTACTTCCCATCGACGTGTCGGGCTATCAAGTGGATATTAGTGAAACCAATTAATGATACTAGCCGAAGTTTGTAAAGACCACCTGTCAACCCCGTAAACCCATAAAATACCATACAAATCCATCCACCATAGTGGCTCGACCAGCCTTGCTCCAGCTTCATAAGGGTTCACAAGTTTCACCTGAGCGAGATCTGTAAAATGGACCTAGTGAAGCGACGAAAGTGCAAAATGCCCTCCCAACCCCGTCGCCGAACTGCGTCGAAAAAATTTCGGAAAGCTTTGCAAAAAGTGGCAGAAAGTTGGGAAAAGTTTGCTACGATATGTAGGATGGGGAAGGGGAGTCGTACCAGAGTAGAGGGGAATCTTATTTTGCCAAAGTCCCCTCCCCCCTCTAAAGACATGATGTGCTCTGAAAACGTTGCTTAACTGGTTTGTCGAGGTAGTCGTGACTCTATAAGTGGCATTTAACTCCACTTATCATGTACAAGGAAATCTATAGGTAATCGATAGAAAGGAGATCTTCAATAGTAGCACAGTAAACAAAACTGACCATGTCATATCTCCAGAAGATGTGACAATTTGGTTATCATCCAGGAATCGGCAGCATGACAGGTATCCCGTATGGCCAGGCAGTTCGCGCGACACTCGCACATTTCCCTCCCTAGTTTTGAGTGAATAAATAGAGCAAATGTTGTCCAATCCTGAAAAATCTTACTATTCGTCTATGTAGAATTCAAATAAGCAGAAACAAGGGGAACTCGTCCAAAAAACCGAAGCCATACCTCCACATGCTACGAAACTACCAGAAGGAGCATAGGCACACGTCATAACCCAGGATGAACGCAGAGGAATTGCATGGACCTGAAAAAACTCCAATTTGGCTAATGCAAGGCGTCTCAAATTCGAAATCTTTTTGCCTTCGCGTTCCCGAGTTCTTTCGAACCCAAAAAATTTAACTGAGGCTATCTGTGATGATGAGTCTCGTTCCTTAGCATTCGCTGCTGAGCAGCAGTTTGCTTCTTTCTTAGAGTGCATTCATACTTCGCGTCAGAGTCCTCAACATACGGCCGTTGTGACCGTTTAGAGTGTACGGTTTCGCAGCGTTACTGTGCGACTATGAAAGCATGGGAGACGAGCAGTCTCTAGAAACGCTAGCGTCCGCTCAAGCTAGATCGATACCTATACATTTCTAGTCACTTGGAACGCTGCCGTGCGTTAGGTCGATGCCTGTACTTTCCTAATCGCTCGAAACGCTGACGCAAAGTATGAACGTAACCTTACTCAAAACCTAATCCACCGTGTTTGCGTCATGTTTTATAATCTCGTTTACTCCTGAATGTGATCGCCTACGCCTGTGCTAGACGCTGTTCGCGCTTCAGAGCTCTGATCATTGCCACAACACTTTACCACCTTTCTCCTCGTATTATAAGAAACATGGCTCTCGCAACTCTAGAGGGTGGCAAACAATGTGCGTCAGTGCATAAATGATTGCACGAGGAGATGGTGATTGCAGTGTGGTTGGGAGCAGCAGGCAGTATGCCGAATTGAGAGCTGCTTGGTGCGGCTCACGAGGCGTTGGCGGCTGACTGAGGGCGAAAGAGAGGCGCCGACCGGAAATCGATAGGCTACAGCGGACAGCGCTCTCATTGAGAAAAGTCATCTCGCAGTGGCTTCTCATCTATACTATTTATACACTTAATGGTGTCCACCAGTCTGAGGCCAAGACACCCAGTAGACGCACAAAGCGCTCAATCGAACCCGCCATCCAGGCCCAACTCGGCACTTCGCTCAGCAAGCGCGATACAAGCGGCAATTTAGGAGTAGATGAGTCAGCGAGATCGAGTGGATTACTAGGAAACCTATATTTCAAGAACAGAGGCGCTCCAATGTGCGGCACCAATTTGGGGTATCACAAGCGCAAGAGCTTTCCATCGTTATACCGCATAAAGTAGCAGAAAATATGGCGAAATTCCAATTAGGAGGAACATTTTTGTGCAAAACACCCAACATATTCACAACAATTATATACATTCTCTCCTTTTCGAAGACAAACCGGGGATGAACATTTCTCTTTAAAGGCAAGTGACACGATAAATCCCCAAGACGTGTAGGATTAAAACACCTCGCAGGACAGAATATGGCGCCCCGAGGCGCTCGTGGCCCAAGAAAGGTGCCCTTATAGTGGCCTATGATCTGCGATACATCGCCCGGACGGCCACCGCGCTCGCCCGCTTCAAATGTACGACCGATGCTGATGCTCGCGCCGTTCTTTGCGAAGTACAATATGAAGCGAAGGGATTGCTATGAAGCGGCTGCGGTGCTGCATGGATATATGAGTACATACATGCAGCCGTACTTAGCGTAGCGGTTACTGGACGATGCCAACGAAAAACTTGTCCAATATCGCTTTCTCGGTCGTGTAGAACAAAGGTTTTCTGCACGTTTTTGACCGTTCCACTTTGCTTTTTGGTGCTCGTTTTTCCACAAATAACACCCCTGCTACCATTTTAGACCGAGCACCAAATTATCGTGCCTTATGCCTTTAACCTGGGGTGAGAAAGAGGCCGCCGTAGGTGAACTAATTCGCTTCACTCAAGTGGGATAACAGCAAGAATATCACTGATCAGCCTTACCTTGTTTGTTGTGTATGAATCCCAAACAATGAGTTTACCATCCTGGGAGGCAGATACTAGGTTTCTGCTATCCGAAGCCCAATGCATAGCATAAATCTGTAAGATCAGAAAAATTATCTTATTCTTTTGGAAATCCTGATAGGTAAGACTTTCACTGAATCAGTACCACTGACGCACCTTAGCTAAATGTCCTCGAAGCGTCCGTCGAGTCCTCATTTGAATCCGTCCAATAGGCTCGAGGTTCGAGGCAACGCTTGCCAATGTGGTGTCATTGGCAGCTTTCCGGGCCTCCTGAATCGCCGTAGATAATATTGACGCACGACTCGACTAATTTTGTATTTTTATGATAATCAAATCTAAATCAAGCGTGTGTTAGAAAAACTTGATGGTTATCGTGTCTTGAGGATTGCTTCCTATTTTTCTTCCCAGACCATGTTTGGAAAGAAAAAGCATAAAGTCGGGGTTGTTCAATAAATTCTTAGGACGCACAACTCAAGCCACTTTATTTATGATTACTGCGGTTCATTTAAAGCGATATGGGATGTATACTTGGGGGCCAACCGATGTAAAATACATGTCAGTCTTCACAACAATGGCAAGGGCAAAAGTCTCGACCCCAGGCGAGACTCGAACCCGCAAATCGCGCTTACTATCAGTGCTCTGTCCATTACGCCACACTCTTACCCTCTTGCCTCTCTGTCTAACAACGAAACAAATTGACGTACAAGTCAGCGTTCTTTATGAATCAAGTACCAGCTTGCCAGCCCAGGAGAGATGGGAGGGCTGGCTCAGAAGGGGAAGTGCCGCTCCACGACTTTACCCCAGGACTACGCGCGGGATGGCCGGCGGCTTTTGGCACGCCATCTCGGTCCTGTTAGAAAGGACTTACGCTGAACTGCCCTATTTCCGTATGGCTCCCAAAACACTATGTTCTTCAACATCTAACTAAAGGCCAGAGTTTCGCAATGACTATGAATAAATCG